TCCTTAAGAAAATTTCGGTTGGTATTTACTTAATCAATCAAAATTGATCTTCTCCAAACCTTTTCATGATTTTTGGTATTATGTTTATATTAACTGTGCGTTATTGTGCGTGTTTTATGTCCTCATCGGTTTTAAAGCCTATTGGAATGAAATAAAATGTCTACTGTCTACTATAATAAAAAAAACCTGTAAGGCCATGTCACGCAAATATATCTAAATGGTAGCGTTTCAATATTAACCGCCCGTCAAATAAACAGAAAATTTCTTGTTTACTAAATTCATTAAAGTTTTTCGCATCACATTATTTTCTAACTCATTCAATAAATACATTATAGAACCTACACTCATTCATTTTTCTCTATTATGTATTTTTCTTCCAATGAGCGATCAGATTGAATAAACACAGGCTCATCTCATCTGGGTGTGAGCTAGTCGCAATCAATTTTCGTTTTGTAAATGTTTTACGGGTTCAAATATTAAGATTTCCTTATCAGAAATTTGTTAGGAATGATTTTAGACTTTTTCTTTGGAAAAGAAAATATATCAAGCCGTCCGTACCTTTTTAACATTTTTGCTCTGCTGAATGCGCTTCTTCTTCCCATATGGGGATAAGACCATAATTATCGCACAGCACTGGCGAAATTTAATGTGAAGACAACACTATACAAATGTTTCCTAAAGTGGAGGCTTTTCTTCCAATTCTGCATTTTATACAAAATATTCTCAAACTATGCACTGTGTTTCAATTGGTATATTAACAACGGATATCTATAATGCCACCGGCTAGAAAGATATTTATATCGGATGGTACAGCATTGTTCAATTAATTATTTCTGACCTGACCAACATTTTTTTCAGATATCTATCATTTCCTACATAAAAATAATTCATTATCAGCTGATTGGACAAATGGAAATCCACCAAGTAGTAAAATGCGCCGTACGTTATCATTGATATTTTGTGCGCCATACGTTATCATTTCGAGAAAATGCCCCGATATTAATATTTACAGCAGTAAATCTAGCTAGAATGGGCATGACTGCTTACTTGACAACATATTACAACTTTTTAAAGTCAGTGGTTTCAGTTAATATACATATATGTAAAAGAATCAGTGAATTATAAAGAAAAAGCCGTACGTTACCACGATCAAACCGATTGAAAATTCTCTCGCTTCGAATCTGGTGACGCGCATTTCAGATGAAGTACGGGACGAAACATCATGAAATAAAATCCTGTGTGCCAGGAAAATTGTGGAGAAGGTTGTTATATTTACCTTTACATTAGAACATCACGAATTTCAGAGAAAAAAGGGAAAAACTTACTTTTTGGCTGCATCCGCCATCTTGTTTGTTTGGGTAACGAACGGCGTGATTCTCCCCCTTGAGTTTGAAAACTGTATTATCTGTGATAAACTGATAATTTGATTAGCTAGCATTTTATTAAACCATTGACAAGAACATGTGCCAAACCTACTTCAAAAATCAAGATAAAAGTAATTTTTATTTATGTAAATAACTTATGATTTAGGTTAATCTCTTACATATCAATATGGGAAGTCAACACGACAGTTATTTTTATGGTTTTTGGCATCTTATCATTATATTATTGGTGTTTTAAGAGCTATTTATTCATCTTTTAAATATCTCAAGTGTAAATGTGACGGGTCTTAGTTTTATCAGATTAATTCTGTGCCTTGTTTTGTTAACGTGTTAGTAGTGTTTTAGCCTCATGCAAAATGTTACTATTTTGATATTTAATAACCGCCTCAGTGGTCGAGGCGTTAGAGTCGATGACTTCTAATCCAGTAACCTCTCTGGCGTGGGTTCGATCCAAGGGAGATGCTTTGGTAGTTTAGCGCGGAGGAAGGTAATCTAGTACTGGTGTAACTCTCCAGAACGATGGTTAGGAAATTATCCGCCTATATGATTGAAATACTGTTGGGAAAAGGCGTAAAATAAAACAAACAACCAAAATACTATTTTTATCCTTGCTTTTCGTTGGTTGAGGCACCGTACCGCTTGGTTGTGTTCAATTCAAAGATTTGGAAGGTTGATGTGTTTTGCATCTTATGAATGTATAAATTTTGATTTTCAATAGACTTTAGTTTGAAAGCTGTATTATCTGTAATATCTTGATTAGCTAACTAGTTTGACAGAATCATTTTCATGTTAACAAGAACTGTCATTGGAAACAGAGAAATGCCCCCAAGCAGTGCAAAGAAGAGGAACCAAGACAAACATGAAAGATCTCGACATGGTCACTATATATAAAGTGAGTGTTTAAAAATATAATATAGAAAAGATTTACAAATAGTTTCTCATACTTCAGTTAGCCCAATTAAATGTATTTAAATAAAAAAAATTCCGTGAATGAATGACAAAAATATGACTAGACACATCATCAATGTTGTATTTGGCATCGTATAGCCATCATCTTTTTAAATGTCACTTGGTCATTGAATGTGAAAAGTGTTTTCCTTATGTGCCACATGAATGTGCCCAGTTACTTCAAAAGCTATTCATGGATGACAGAATTGATGACTTGTTTGACATACAAGTGTGACTTAGACCTTTGCACTGGATAGTTGACCCCATATGCGCGACACATCATCATCATAACTCATACATGTATGTCAAATATTTTAATTCCACCAAGGAATGGCAATTATAGTTGACTGAACACAACCATCAATGTACTTTAATTAAAACGTTCATATCATGACTTTGGAATACAATTGTGACCTTGACCTTTGGCGTAGGGACCTGATGTATGCTCCAAGTAAGACTCGATTTCAGAGATGCTCCCAGTCGGACTCAGAAAGTTTGCTGTCTACATATTTAATTAAACGAAATACGCGGAATACACTTTTAGTTCTATGTACTATTAATACGCCTTTACAAAACGTTCGTAGTAAATCATCTAAAGCATAATTATTTATAGAAATGAATTTTGTCACCGGACACAAGCACATCCTTTGTATTCCTAACTTTTTGAGATTTTACATAAAATGTTTACCAATAACCCAAATGATAAATAGTAAGATATATAAGGTTTAACCGTAATGACTTACTTGTTTGTTGAACTTGTGATAATATCAAAGTCGTAATTTTATGAAGAGAAGAGGTTAATATCTATCGGTTGATTAGTTTATTAAATCATCAGGCCTTAACTCGGCAATAAATCTATAAACCTTTTTTACAATAATCAAGAACTGCAGTCATTCTTTGGTGCACTAATTGTATTTTGATACTGTAACTATTTCTTATAATAAAATCGTATTTTACCTTCGAGTCGACGGATTTTCTACAAAAAATGGTCCAAGTGGGAGCATTCAGCAGGTTGTTGACTAGATTTTATCATGCTTAAAGGCTGTAATAGTCGTGATTTCACGTTTTGTCACCCAGAAAACAGTAATTTTGGGATGACTTTAAGCAGTAAGTATACTTAAAACGTCAATTGATATTTATATCATATTTACGAAAATATGCGGGGATAAAAAAGCGCATACCAAAGTCCTCTAATAAAGGTATCATTAGACGACTTTTTCATCAGTAATTTAAATTGAAACAGCAGGGTGTTAAAGATAAAAAATTATTACCCTGTATTTCAGAATATTACACAATTTGTATTGTACACTTCCTTTGAATTAGTACATCAGCTAGTTAACAATATCATTCAGCCGGGATAAGTACCATGACATAGTTAATCATGTAAAATTATGAAAGTCGCAATTTAAGTAACTTTTACATATACCAATCTCATCAATTTTGTGAAATGACAAATAGTGTGACGTGCATTTACATGTGTTACGTGGAACCAGAAGTGTGTGTGATTTCACCACCCACTACCCATCATAACTTTTTAAGATTTTGAAAAATTATATTCATCTATCTTTCTATCTTCCGTTAATGTCAAACCCCTCGCGGGGACGTAGACATGTTAATTTTTTTAATTTTTCAACTGACCGCGTACGTCTTAAAAAGGTCTATTTGCCTTACATGTATATTTATGTTACTTAAAAAATTTCTGTTTGGCATCACAGTCAAATCGGATATGGGATAAAATCAAGTAAACTGAAAGCTAAAATGCATTATCACGTGTTCTGACTTTTAGTTTTCTAAAGAAATTTCTTTAGTTTTTATATGAACTATTTCAACAACAGTTAGATTGATTTATTTATTTGCTAATAGATATATTTTAACATTTTTAACAACAACTATCTCAATTTCAGGTCCGTTATCGTAATGGGGAATTCTTCAACACTCATCTTTTCAATGCCTTTTAAGGCAATCTTCGCCACAAAGCTACATCTTTTGCGTTTTTGTTAAAGCTTATTATCTACGTTTTACCTTCAATCTAACTTGAACTTCTACTACAATTCTATGTAGGGCGATGTGCGAGTAAATACCACTTTAGGTTAATTTTTCAACGGACCGTGTACGTCTTAAAAAGGTCTATTTGCCTTCCATTTTATTTATTTTATTTTTTTTTTTTGGGGGGGGGGTGGGGGTGGGGGGGTTAGGGGGGTGGTTATAAACATTTGTTTGTAGATAAAATTTATGTATATAATATATATGTAACTGTTCAAGTTGTTTATGTATAATTGCATCTCTTTGGCAGTTGTAACAAAGGATAAATTTGATTTTAATCGTTCAGTTTCTTTATTGTCTTTTGCATGCAAGTTGTTGTCACTTGCAGTCAATTTTTAGTGTTTCCATAACAGTTGTGTAAGTGTTTGCACAATAAGTATTATCATTCACGCAATGTAAATGCTCAGATTAAAATCATGCGTCTAATTTGAAAACATATATAAAACTCGGCTTCTTTGCAGCCGAATTATTTCACCGAAAATATCAAAACCTGAAAGATCGATGAGTGTCATAATGTTAATGGCATTGATAGTTACAGTTATTTGTCTCTTGTTTTGATAATTTAAATTCTAACAGTGATGTTTAAAACATATAATCAGATGTATAGATTAAGCAATGAATTCTTACGGATCGTCACCTCCTTCTGCCATAATGTCACGTGATATGACTTGTCCACTCTGAAATGAAAAGAAACAAGCAAAATAATATAATCAAAGGGCTGCAAGCTCTGTGGTATTTTCTGATCTTTGCAATCTAAATCGTACTGTATATCTGTATGAATTTTCCTGTATAAGTTTATTTTTATGTACTATAATTCATCTTGCAAAGCACCAGAGTTTGATACGGAATTTTGCATAACTACAGTAGAGTTGGATCAAAAAATCATTTATGTTCATTTTTTATGACAACCACACTTTATCATTGCATATCATGGCTACTTCCTTAACAAAGACACTTAAAAAAGAATTTTAAAAAAGTTGCCTCGACTGGGAATTGAACTCTAGACCTCTCACACACTAGACGAGCGCGTTACCCCTGTTATATAAACGGTGTCTGAATAAAATCTAGTCATTCTAAACTTAGAACTTCCATTGCATTCCAGGTTTGTAATCCTTATTAATTTCAAGTTATTTGGTTCAGGATAAACCTGTTGTTTAAAATTGAAGTAAATAATTTAGCGAAATCTTCTCGCCCAAACAGTCCGACATGTAGAATCTATATATTCCACTACTCGGCAGTCAGATTTATTTGTGTAGTATTCGGTAATCGACATCGCTAAAAATAGCATTTTCATTGATTAAAATCAAATTCATCCGCGTAATTTGTGATTGTGCATTTCTATAAGACAACGCTACTTTTAAACTTAGAATGCGTTGTAATTTGTTGGATACTTGTAACAAAATAAAAATATTTCTTTCTTTTAAATCGCTAGTTTTAAGCTGTTTTGGGAACTACTTGTTGTTAGGTTTGTCGGGAAATTCTGTGTCAGAGATTGAATGTCAGCTTTGTATTTACTGACCTTCGGTCAGAAAATACAAAAATCATTTGTTATTTACAAAAAATATTTTAATGAACGCTCTGTAGTTTAGACTGTGTTGTGAACTACCATTTCGAGCAGTATAACACCCCTGCTAAAAGATGGCTCTTTTAGGAATCGGCCAAAACAAAGCTAGAAAAGGTTTCTAAAAATACTTAAGATACTTAATATTTAATTCCAAAACTCGCAGAATGCTTTGCCAAGTAGAACATTTTTCTAATCATTTTCGGTGCAATATCGATACGAAATACCCTAAAATGACGTTGCTATATTAACTTGTGTGTTTCTATTGAATTAAGACACATCTGAAGTGATTTCTTTACAGTAAAGTAAATATCTGCCCACTTTAAATATCGTGCATTTAACGCGATCCTAACCTCCCCTTTGGCTGAACACAAAATATTTCACAGAGCTTAGTTAAAGATAAATATTAACATTTGTTCAAATGTGATCAAGCCATCGACACGGTGCCGCCACCATCGGCATTATGAAAAAGCCATCGCAAATGTGACGGAACCAGCACAACCATTCAAAAAGTGTCAATATTGTGGAATTATTAAGATTAATATTCATAGATGGACTAAAAGAGAATCTCCGAATTGGATGAAATAGGTTTCTCAGTACATGTATCTAATTTGTCGCTGTAAAAGTATTAAATGTGCCATTTTCAATAACTTTCACCACTGATTGGATAACTTTCAAGTGAAAAAAATCGATGTCTGTCTGTCTTTCTGTCAAAGCACTTGTCCGGACAACTCCTCAAAAATCTTCTAGTGCAATTTCATCTAAACTTATAGAATAACCAATACCATATCTATTTGTGCATATCGCCGGTATTTTCCAGTTCAATGATTTTTATCCGAGTTATGACCCTTTAATTTCTTTAAAGTTTTGTCCATACTACTTCTGTTATACTACTAATGCAAATACAATGAAACTTTTACAGTGCTTGGTTAAAGATAATCTCAAGTGCTTGCGCATTTTAACGGGTTTTCACGTTGAATGATTTTTGGCTGAATTATGGCCGTTGAATAAAAAATAATGGCATGTTAATGACTTTTGTTTGAACTGCCACACAGTAGCTGCAACATGCTACGATGTAGATGAGATATATAGGAAACAAACTGTTCAGTCACCCATCAATACAGCTGCCTTATTGGCGACACATGTGTTTAATGTGTTTAATGTCTAGAGCCAAAAACTATATATAAATGCATGTGTCATACATTATACTGCTAGGCACGTAAGACATTTACCATAAAACACTAAGTTTTGTCTCAGGTAGACTGCAACCAGGTGAAAGCTATAAAAAGCCTGAATAAAAATGTTGCTGATAGGCAACACTATATTTTTTCCACATTGAATGAATCCATGCAGTTTACAAATAACTCGGACGCAATTTCCATGACTTTAAAGCCGTTGCTAAAGGGTCTCAGCGGCGGTTTGCACTTTCCAGTACCGTCCATAAACAGACTCAAATAACCATATTATATTAATGTTATGGACGTTCTTTTATCATTCATACTTTCTATATCTTAAGATATTTAAATGTTGTCTTTACTCCGGGTGTTCCAATGCACACCAAAGCAAAATTAACTAGGCCGGTATTCATTTCCTTTAAATTTGTTAATCGCAAGAAATTCCGTTTTCAGGTTATTGAGCCGAAACTGCTTTGCCGGCCATTATACCGACAGTTCGACATTTGCTAAACAATCGACTTTCCTTGGAAAGGAGCATAACAAAGTGGCCATTGGGGGCAATTTTGACTCCAGGGAATATTTTTTCAGAGGACTACAAGGTGAATCTGATGTTACGCACCAAATGTCTTAGATCTGGCTATTGTGGTTTTGAGAAGTTTTTAAATATTTTAGGACTACATGTACCATACAAACATGTGTTAACTTGACCGCTAAGGCAGAGTCATTTTTAACACAAGGCGCACGACCTTTTTATATACCTTCTGGGCAAGTATACATGCAAATTATATAAGCGTGGCATTGTAAATTTTAATGACTTGTGCTATATGTCTAAATGAAATAAGCTACCCCATTTAGCGGGCCCAATTTTATGATTTATATGTTATGATTTATATCACTTTCGAAAGGACCACGTAGCTGTTGCTACATGTCAGATATCTCAGATATCTAAGCTTTTCCGAGAATTGTTTAAGATTTTTACTGCTTTTTTGTGTTAGAAACTATTAGCTAGTTGAACCACCACACTCACGAATCAGTTCCTAGAACCAACCAGTACTAAGCAATGCGTGTAAAGTTTCTTGCCTGAGAAACAACGACATACTTGTATGGTAGGCCTAAAATATTTTTTTTAAAAAGACCCAAGGGCGGGTCCATTTTTGACCTAAGGGACATGACTTCTATGTTTTTTTGTTAAGGTCTGTTAGGCAATGTTACATGCTACATATTTAAGCTCTTGGCATTGCAGTTCATCAAAAAAGACTTAAATGTATTTTATATATTGATCAGTCAGTATTAACTTAGTGACTCTAAGGGCGGGATAATTGTAGTTGTAGAAGTAATGTTTAAAGATTTCATTTCCAAAGTCTATTTAAGCTCCTATGGCCTATTTATACATCTGACAGGAACCATTTACATGAATTTTTTTGAGGGCAAACCTTAGGATAATTCTCATTAAGTTTGGTCAAAATTCACAAAGTGATGTAGGACATATTCTTTATAGAAATATTGAATAACCGAGAATTATATAAGATATACATGTATATTATTTTTGCACGTAGACCGTTATTTAAATTTTCATTCAGTAATTATTTAATCCAAAGTTATGTATTCCCAACCGGTATTCCGACCAAGAAAAAGAAACAACAAACAAAGTTACAAACAAAAACAAAATCACGCACGCGCGCATACACATATTTTAAGCCGGCTTCAACGTATCTCGGCAGTCGATGCATCTCACCGGCACCAGTAATGACCTATTTCTCCGCAAAATGACCGTCTACTTATCCTGCGTTATTTCTGAATCTGCGGTCAGAGACAAATGGCCGCTAGACTTAATGTCCTATTTTTCCCCGACGAAACTAGCAGGAGTAGATAATGAAACTCTATCTCTTCTTATGTGATGTTTTATATGAATTTCGGACAAATTGTGCAATTAAAGTTAAAGCAGTAGCCCAATCAACATAGCCCTAGCATAACTGAGAAATAACTATTTGCGTTTTAAAATATACCTTAATTTTAGTGTATATGAGTAAAATAAGGTTAGTTTTACGACGACTTTAATGGATTATATGTTTCATAAATATGGATGGTTAACCTCCTTTAATTGTTGTTAAGAATTGTATCTAGAAAATTAATTGTTATCGAAGATAAAGAAATGCCCCCAATAATATATGTCCGGTGTTTCTTTTGGACAATCGTGAATTTTTATTTCGTCACTACCCGCGATGCACGATGGTACGATGGTAAAAAAACTTGATGGTACGATGACACGATGATGAAAACACGATGGTACGATGGTGAAATCGCGATGTCGCGATGGTACGATGGTGAAAACGCGTTTATATCGCGTTTTTACCATCGTACCATCGCGTTTTCACCATCGTACCATCGCGCCATCGTGTTTTCACCATCGTACCATTGCGTTCTCACCATCGTACCATCGCGCTTTCATCATCGTACCATCGCGTTTTCACCACCGTACAATCGCACGTTCACCATCGTTCCATCGTGTTTTCATCATCGTGCCATCGCGTTTTCACCATGGCGTTTTCACCATCGTGTCATCGCGTTTTCACCATCGTGCCATCGCGCTTTAATTATCGTACCATCGTGTTTTCGCCATCGTACCACCGTACCATCGCCTTTCAGTCAGTATGACCAGTACACATACAGAGAGATGTCAGAATTTAATACGACAGATAGTACAAAGAAGTTTGAAATACTTACTGATTAATTCGAGTAATAAATAATAAAACCTGTTATCTTTACATTTCTATTTATGTCATTATACTGTATATAGATCAAAGATTATTTGATATATGCTTATATACATGTACGCTTAATATATGTTTGCATTTTTTTCTTTTGCTGTATTTAAAATATCAACTTGAAACTTCATATGTACAGTGCACAAGGATGACAACTTGAAGTTTAATTTTTTGAG